ACACATTGCAACCGGCAAAAGCAGCAAATGCCTGGAAATACCTGCTCTGGAATTAAAATAACTTAATAAATTGAACAAAGTGCGTAGAGTATGTTCATTGAAGTTGAAGTTGAAGTTGAAGTTGTACTTACTTTCCGTCAAGCATTAAGTTGCTAGTGAGAAGAAGCTTGAAACCAGCAATATTTTCCACTCCTATGTTATTAAAGAAACCAACAAGTCCAGTACTCAATCCAATAAGGAGCACAAGAGTCCATTTGAGAAATATATATTGAAATATCTCAACCTTTTTCCTAGATCTCCAGTCTTGCTTGAAAAGGTCATTTTCTACAATACTGCAAAAAGTAAAAAGTTCAATGGTTACAAAGTTAGTACTAGAAAAAGCATGTATTGTGCTAGCTTGACTGCAAAATGACAGAAATAGCAACTATAGCAGTACAGATCGACTTGTATTCATTTTCAAGGTTGACTACATAGAATCGGGTAATCTAAGAAAGAGCAAAAACCATACTCATAGTCGAGGCTTTCAATGGGATAAACATTGGCTCCAACAATAGCGATTTGGGAGGTATTGTTGACTCTGCTCTTCGATTTGAGCAAAGGCACTCTTATACTACCACTCTCTGAAATTGTTGAAAAATTTCTCTCCAAATCAAATTTCTCTTCTTCAATCATCCCTCCATCATTCTCTATGTCAACTTGGTTCTCCATCAGATCAATGGATGATGAATGGTCTTTCTTCCCTTCTCTTCTTTTTTCTCTCTCTATGTATATATATTGAGATAAAAGTTACTGTTATGAATGAATACGTGTATGGGTAGAAACGCACATCTATCTAGGAAAAAAGAAATGATCATTTTCTCAATCAGCTTCATTTATATAAGGCGCTGGCAAAGTGAACTTTTTTAATGAAAGAGAGAAGCGGGAGATCCGTGACAGTAATTTCGACAGGGCATCAAACTTGTGATAAACAAATCACACATTATTTGGCGTTTCATTTTTTTAGATTATCTTCTCATTTTCCATTCTCCCCACATTTTTTTCTTAGTGCTCTTCAACTCTTCATTAATCTTTACCAACATATTTTTGTGATTACTCCGTTTCTTCCAAATTTATATTTATGTTACATAAATGAAATTTGGGACTCGTTTGGCTTTAATAATACTTAGGGAAAAACTTGTGGGAAAACTTGAGAAGTGGTGTTTGGTTATATAACTTGAGAAAAAAAAGCTAGTATTTCGGTCAAGTTCTAATAAAAATTCAAAAATTACCTCAAACTTTTATATTTTAAAAAAAATATATCAATTATTTATTAATTCCAACTAATATTTGTTATTACCGCCTCCAAGAAAATTGAGTTCTAATTTGAGTGATAAAATTGAGAAAAAGGGAACATTTTTTGTTTAATGAGTTATAATTATAACTGAATCAGTGACAAGTTTGAGTATGCGATTAATGTATTGTCTTACCTATATTGTTATTTTGTTATTGTTGATTGTTAACAATTATATTATAAGGTTACTTTTTAAAGGAACGTATTCATTATAAAATGATAATATAAGTTTATGGGTATTTTTAATAAATTTTAGAACTTATGGGTATAAATCATATTTTTGAAAATCTTTGGGGCCGAATACATGGTGAAACTTTACCAAAAACTTCACTCAAATATGATTTGCCAAGAATATTTGAGAACTTGAGGCCAAACGCTAGTTTGGAGAGTTGATTAATTTTCTTACATGTTGTTTTGAAAAAATATTTTAAATTATTAATTATTGTGATTAATAGTATATGTTACGTAATTTTCAAATAATATATGTTATTCCATTTGTTTCAATTTATGTTGCACCCATAGAATTTCAAGAATCAACCAATTTTTTATATCTTCTTAAAAATATTTTAAAGTTATTAAATTTATAGTACTTTTTACGTAATTTTCAAATGTAAACTAGAATATTTTAAATTTTTTTATTATTGTAATTTTTAAATATATATAATGTACTTTTAAGAGTTGTGTGCTTGTAGAATTTTATTAGATGTCAAAACATTTTAAGTTGTTAATTATTGTAATTTATAGTATATTTTTATGTAATTTTTAAATATACAACAGAATATAATTAAACCAGCAAGAATACTTAATCTTTTAAAGTAGGAGTCCCACTTTTGGCTTAGAAGCACACAGCTCAAGTAGACACATCATCCCAGAGTTGTGTGCCTCTTGGCCTCTTATATATATATAAGAGAGGGCTTAGGCCCATGCTGAGCACGGGCCCAACAATGACCTATTTGTACAGAGCGTTGATTGCACAGTTGCAAGCCCTAAAATAACAATGTCAGAGGTATCATTAAATTATATGTAAAGTCATTGCAGGATGGGTACATCAATTTCACTCACAGTCTTTTTGTATCGTCATTGAATTCTTCTTGATAGAATCTTACACCTAAGAGATTGAGATAAAACAATAATGAGTACATGTATTTGCAAAATCAATTAAAGGAAGAGGGCCAAAACGTTCACAAGATTTCTGAAAACTGAAAGGAAAATAGAACTAATTACGTTATAAGTGTCATTGAATCATAGCAACATATACAAAATAAAGATATTTTATATGATCCCACTTCACTTTTACAAACTTAAAAGAGTTGGGAAATTAAATAACTGCAATACATGTGGTGATGAACATCTGAGAATGAAATAGTTGAACTTTCTCTAGTGAAAGATTAACTATCGAATATCTAACACTTAGGACTCAAAGCAGATGACAACATATGCTACTGTCAATAATTTCTTCAACTTCTTCAACTGCTATCATCTTGTACATCTGGCACATCCATTACCTTTTCAACAATGAAAAGTCCATCAGATAACTCTTTATTCACAAAGAGAATATGAGACTCCGACTTTCATAATTAGCAATTCAGCCTTTGAAGGGGTGCTAACTATTAGATGAATGACTATTTGAGAAATTAATATAGAATGGACATTCTCCATCATAGTTACGTTAATTTATGGCTATTGCCAAATTGGAAAAGCTGAGTCACAAACCAAGAAAGCACTATAAGGATACATTTAGGAGTTTGGCCAAGTGGAATAAAGATTAGACAACGAGGATGGGATTAGTACCTATTTGGATTTATTGAGAAGTTTATGGGAATACGAATGATCAGTTCCACGAAATAAAATAGAAGCAACAGCCATTGTTGCATAAGTGTCAGCAGTCCAATATGCGATCTTGAGTCTGTTTTTGTGTTAGCACATACCACCGTGTAGTCCTGCTGATCTACCAGCTTTCTCATTGACTACACTGTCAATTCTCATACTACAGAAGAAGGCCACATAAAGATTCAATTAGACAATCAAATTCACTACATTGTTTAATCTCTTAAATAAAAACAAAACTACTAAATAAAAGCAGCACCATAGTTCAGTAGCAGCAGTACAGAGTGATATTCACCTTCTACAAGCATAAATTAGGTTTTGAAGGAAGCAGAAACACACAACCACCTATTTCTACAATGTCAAATCAGCAGACTTGTGGAGTATGTTTTTAGCTTTTTTTGGCCTCACATGGGTCATGCCTCAGAATATCAGGGATGTTGTGATAAGCTGGAGTTGCTGGAAAGTTGATAGCACTATCAAGAGAATCTGGAAGATGATATTTGCAACCATTTTTTGGAGTATCTGGAACGAAAGAAATAGGAGATGCTTTGATGGAATATCAGCTACCTACCAATCTTTAAAAGCTAACTGCCTCATGTTTTTGTATAGTATAGTTGGGTTTATTTATCCCCTCTAGATTCCCCTGATTCATTTCTAAACTTTGTCAGCTCCCTGACTCTTAATTAACAATGTAAAGGAGAGCTGACCTTTAGCTACTAAGCTTTTGTAACTATTATGCATCTACTTGATGCCTGCAATAGAACTAATTACTTCATCAAAAAAAAAAATTAGGTTTTGATATACTAATAATTGACTCTTCATTGATGATCAAACATAAACCAAAATTGAGTAGCTGTGCAATCACAACCTCTTAAGATTGACCTCCTCAAGTGCCAGATATGAATGTTTTCTGAATTTCATACGAGACTACTTACTTACCTAAAGTTCACTTTTGGCTTACCAAAAAAGTTGACTGAAGGAACTGACCTAAGCATAGCGCTCTCTCTCAAATACAAATGTCAAGAGACACTAAAAAATTAATCCATAGAAACGTGATAAATGATCATATCTGACTTTAATAATAGAACAACTGAGGAACTCTTGCAAAAGCAGAACTAATGGGTGTAAAATCAGTCGAGAAAATAATAAAAAAATGGATGGGGGGTGAGCAACGGGGATTACCATATCCAAAGTAATGAAACTCATGAATTCAATTCAAGGCATCTCAAACTCCATTACGAACATGCAAGTAAAAAATTAATCAAAAATCAAAAAATTAACAAAGATTTTGAATCGAAATTTCCACATATTAATGAACATTAGAATCCAACGGTATATTCAAATGGAAAAGATGAAGTGTTTTCCAAGGTGAATGAGAAATGATTTTTCTTTCGTGAGTGAGATTTAATTCTGCGATAGAGTCGCTAGTTTTATTTTAGTTCTTTCCTCACATACATCTATCACTGCTTCAGCAACTGATATTTTCAGCGGACATTAGCTTGTCCGAGCTGCTGCTATTTCATCAGTAATAATATTCAATTTTAGCAGTGATTCTTCGTCACAACACACGAACATTTTCTTCAATATGATCCAAAATGGTTAAATGTTCCCTTTTATTTACAAAATAACAAAAAATATTGTTTGAAAAATTAGTTCAACATTCAGATGCTCGCAATTATTAAAATTAGAAAATTAGAACATGATACAGTTTTTACATATATCATATCAAGAGAAGTATTCCACTATTTATAGCAAATAGTTCAAGTAGAGATGCCGCACATTCTCATCTTTCCTCCAAATTGAGAAGGGACATGACACCTACAATGAAAGACACTGTGAAAGTGTTTTACGCCAGATACAAATATATATCCTATGTCTTCTCAAAATTATCAAGAACAACATCTTATAAGGTCCCAACCAATCAGTTGTGCTTTTCCTAGAAATATAATAAGAATATTTCGTTTTCTCCTAAGCAATGAAAAATACGACGGCACATGGTCCAGTTGAGTCTCTTCTTTAAAAATATATGAACTCTCTCTTTTGAATGAGTATACATCAAATACACAAAAAGTAGAGAAAATTATTATTTACAATCAAAAGATGTATACAGAGTCCTAAAGTATAAGCAAACTAAATACTTGAAACATATGATATAACCTTATACAAAAAATGAATATAAAAATACATATTGCGTACCTCCCACTAATTAATATTTTCTCAGTCTTTTCCTTTACTGCACTTGAACTCCAGTCATAGTCCATCTAACTTCCCCAACAATGTAAGTCGAATTCATGGATGAGTGTTTTTTGCCCGCAAACATTTCAGCCATGAGGCGGTCTGCACTCCAAAAATCAATACATATTTCATAATTTGTAGCACTTAGTAGAAGTTCTAAAGCTCTTTACCAAAATGTGACAACTTGACTTGAAATAGGATGCTCTTTTTCAGAATTAAAAGAATTTGTGAACCTAGAACCAACGATTTTTAGCATCCTATATTTATCAATCAACAAAGCAGATACCATAAAATCTTTGTGCAAAATACCCCTCTCGTGACAATGTTGCAGCAGTGCAAGCAACTACTGCATGCAACACTTAATATGAAACTGGAAAAATACTTTAAAAATCAGGAAGTGCAATGACCAACAACAAACGAAAATTAACCTTGAATGATACGTCTCTTTTTCATTGCAGGGTTGTTGTGCATCAAATCCTCAACACCGAATGCGACATTCTCATTATACCCCTCTTCAATAGACATAACATACTCAAATCATAACTGCTCATATCTTCAAGTACATCATAGGCATATCCTAATTCAACAACCACAGTGTTGTGCTGGAGTTGTGCATAAGGGGATCCTGAAGTATCTTGGAAAAATATGGAAATATCAGTCAACTAATCTAACATTTTGAAAGAAGAAAGAAGAATCTAGAAAATATAGTAGCATAATGACCAAGATACTGAAACAAAATGTTAAAACTATTCTTCTGCCAAATACTTGCTCGAGTAATCAACTTAAATTTTCAATTACATAGGAGAACATGTATTCAAATCTTTGAACAATATATTAAATTGAAGGATGCTTATAATTAAAAAGGTAACATCAAGGAAACTCTGAAATTAATATAAATTTCCCAAATAAATTCTCGCACTTCACCAAAGGCTGGTGAAACAGTAATAGTGAAATAATTGGTGATATATATTTCGGTCAAGCACACATTCAAAATTTACCATGATCTTTTCTAAATAGCATGCAAATCAAGGAGCAGCCAGAAATAAAAAAAGATTCAGATGATATAATCACAACTCTAATTTTCGTGCACAAGTACAATGCTCGACTCGGATGTGAAGACAAAAAAATTACATGGAGTAAGTTGAAACACCAAAAGTTAAAAGTTTTCTTGCTTGGAAAATTCTGTGACACGATAGAAGCATAGAAGGAGTCCCGACTTGAAACGTAAAGCTCAGGCTAAAATATGAAACTAAATATTATAACAATTACCTCACTTTCTAAGATTTTGAACTTACTAAGATTTTGAACTAATTTTGGGCGGAGAGATTGCAAACGTAGTTATTATATTTCTATGTCGATTAATTTCAAAAGGAAGAAGCAAAAATTATGGGGAGAAGCTTTAACATTTTTCAGTCCTTGTAACTGAAACTATTCTAATCACAATTTGTAAATCATGCATAACATATTCATAACAACTTTAAAAGCAACTCAGCCTATTAAAATATCATCATCATTAGGAGGGAAGATGGTTCAGAACAAATTGAATAATACTGCTACATAGTGCGAGAGAAGTTATTAGCGAAAAGGTAAGAGTTATTGGGCCATCTAAATAAAAAAGAACTTCCTATATGTATACCTGCTTGCATCAGTTACTAAGGTGAAATGTAAAATGTAAGCAGATATCAACATATACTAAAATTATAAAACAACAATCTTTAGAACTTGCCAGTTTTTATGTCAAAAAATCTATTGTTCGTTTAAGACTCAGGCCAAGCTGATCTCGTTTGTAACTATGAATGTAAACATATGATTTCTCATTAGACTATTTGTGATATGCCTCTTCACAAAAAGCCAACTACATATAAATATCATAATTTTTCTATTCATTTTCATTAGCTGCAATACACAATGGCAGTGCACTCAAAGTTCCATTGAATATTTGTTGAACAATAATTATTATTATTATTAGTTCGAATACTTTTTGAAAGTTACTTATCTATGTCCATGATAGGAAAATAAATCAAAATAACTTCAAGCAAGAAAACTCAACAGTGCAATCTCTGCTCCAACATGAGACCTCAACCTTAATACACAACAAAATGGGGATTTATGAGTTTAGAAGCAACTATTTCCCCTGCAATGCTAGGTCTAGCACTCAATGCGGGTTACAGTGACTTACAACATAAATTTGTTGCGTCCAACTTACAGAAATTTCTGAATAAAATTTGAGCAAGAATTATCGAAACACTCACTTGCAGTAATTTGTAATAGCTATTTCACAATCCCATGTTTCCTGACAAATATAAAGTTGAAAAATGTTAAACGATAAAAAAGAGACATGCATGAAAAATGATGTGCAAACTATGGATACAAATCAATGAGAGAAGTACTAAATTAGTAATACAAAATAAGCTATGGAAGTTTATGCACATTACCCTGATTCAATCTTTCTCAATATAAAAGACCCATAAAATTTTCGAAAAAATCAACTAATTAAAATGGAAAAATCTAACCTGTACAAAGATAATGATGAAGAGCTATCGACCAACGTTGAAGAAGAACCGATTTGAAGTGATGAAATACATCAATTCTACATGGAAAACATATAACATAGTGAGAGAAAAGAGAGAAGTCTTGAGAGAAGTAGAAAAGATGAAATTGTGTTTTGGGTGGAAACCAAATGTCTTTCACAATGACAAAGATGTAATACGTGTCAAAAGGAAAAGGAAGATGGTGAAATCAAATTCATACACGTGGTTGAGAAAGAATGTGAAGAAACAAAATGGGCCAAATTTGTAGTACAATTTACTTTACTTTTGGTACAACTGATTGATGTTGTGATAGTCCTTTTCTTGTTCACTTATAAATAAGGGTAATAATAATAAATATGTGTTATTCTCATAATTCCAGTTATAAAAATTTCAATAGACTTTTTCTTTTATAAATAATTCTCTCGACATTCCTATGTTTTTCTTGGTATAGTTATTTTCATATATTGTTACTATTAATAAGAGTCTAGGAAGCAGGTGGTCGTCAACATGCTTGTTTTCTAGATAGACATGGGCAATTTGGTCATTTAAAAATGGCTATAAGTTTTGTACTTTTTTCATTTTAATTTATTTGTCTTACTTTTCTTTTTAAATGTGGTATATATTTTTAAATTATGTAAAAAGTACTATAAATAATAATAATAATTAGCAACTTAAAATATTTAAAAGACAATAAAAAAAAGTTGATTTACTTTTGAAATTCTATTGATGCCACGTAAATTGGGATAGAGGAATGAACAAATATCATTTGAAATAACTTAAAAGTTCTATAAATCAAATGAATTAACAACTTAAAAATTTAAAAGACATAAAAAAATCGGCTGACTCTCGAAATTCTATTAATGTAACCTAATGAGACATATGGAGTAACATATCTTATTTGGAAATGACGTAAAAATTATTAAAAATCACAATAATTGTCAAATTAAAATGTTGAAAAGACATAAAAAAAAATTTGCTTAACTCTCAAAATTTTATCAGTACCATATAAATTGGGATCGAAGGTGTAACATAAATTATATGAAAATTATGTAAAAAGTACTATAAATCACAATAACTACTAACTTAAAATATTTACAAATCATTAAAAAAAATTACTCAAAATTTCATTGTGTCACATAAATAGAGACAAAGTGAGTAATATATACCGCTGACACGGGCTTCAATGTCTAGTATCATCAACAATTATTTTGAAAAGTAAAACATTAAAATATATAATAGTTTGTAGGTGGTATGAACATTTTTCATAGAATATTAAGAATGAATGAGATATCATATTTCAATCCAATTATACATTCTATTATGACGTTGTTTCATTTTTTTTAATAAAACAAGTGTATAGTGCATATTAGTTGATGATCATTTTGAAAAATAAGACATTAAAATATATAGTAGTTTATGAGTGGTATGAACATAATTCATAGAATATTAACAATGAATGAGATATTATATTTTAATCTAATTATACATTTTATTATGATGTTGTTCCATTTTTTTTTAATAATACAAGTGTATAGTGCAAATTAGTCGATGATTATTTTTCACCTTTTGAAATTCAACTTTTTCTCTCGATTTGACGGTTGACTTTGAACTCAATAGGTCCTTTTTATATTTTTAAAATCTAAAAGCTAAAGCATTAAAGTGAAATTTGTTAATTATAATAAAATATTAAGACAATAAAAAAAAAAATAGCATAAGAAATCAGGGAAGAGAAATAATTTTTTTAAGATGTTGTAATCTAACAAAGTTTGTTTTTTTATTTATAGAAGAAAAGAAGTTGATTTAAGACTATTCAGAAAGCAGTTGAAAGACTTTTCAGAAGTAGATTGTCAGTAATTGTCTGTTTGATTATAAGCTTTTTCAGAATTAAGCTACTTGTGGTCTATCTGCTTGCAAGCTCATTTAGAAATTGTGTATGAACATCTACTGTACAATGTATTTACAAAATTTCCCCTTAGATGCTCTTAATAGATAATGTGTCTAATTAAAATTTTATTTTAAAAAAATTGAAGAATGAAAAAAGAGTACACATTTCTTGTAATACGCATTACTAGCGGTGTCACTAAAATATTATCAGAAAAATCTAATGGAATAAAATCTTGATTAAGGAATACATAGTACAATACATATTTTACATCACATAACTCTTGAAGATAATGAAGTACTCAAATCTTCTATATCAACTTATTATTGGTTGAAGTGGTTGTGTCTATATGATCAGATTTGTCAAATTATCATTCGACGAACTGATTGATCATTTGCATTGACATTTTTTTATAATGTTGCATAATTGTTATATAATATTGTTAGGATCATGTCAAGTATAGTTCTTGGTTGCTTCATAAATTGATAATATCTTTGCAAGTAAAATAACATAGTATGATGATAACTCTTCATGAAAATATATAACATGTTTATATCAAACCCTCAAGTCAATCAGATGAATGTTCTATATATTAAAAAAAAATTGACAGTATTTATCTAGCTCTTATTTTCTTCATGTTTGTTAATTAGTAGAGGTTCGTTACCTCATTAAGATTAGTAAGGTAAGGCCTAGCCCCTTTTGCTTGCACTTTTTTTTTTGAGATCCTTTTTCTCTTTATTAATAAAACTAGCCCTAGGCACACATTGCCTAGCGAAATTATTAAAAAATATATGAGGGATTTCATTCGGAATATGAAATTGATCCTATTTCAATACTTCCATGTATGAGTAAAATTATATCATGCTCATATTATAGAAAGATATATACATACATCAATTGCACAAAGATAACTTTGGAATCAATTAAAATAACTTCTTTCAATAGATACTCTACTGCTTTTGGGAACATTTCAAGAGTTTTAATTCAAATCACCAACTCGCATTAATAATATGAAGGCACAAGAGTAAACAATAACATGTTTGTACACTATATCAACAAATATTTTTTAAGATGATTATAATTGATGCATGCACACCAAACCAAGATAAGAAGTCCAAAAAATTTGCATCAAGTTAATATTTTGAAGAATTGAAAGGAATATAGAATGAAGGCTTTGAGCTCGAGAACATGTTAAAGTGAAAGTACAAGGAAGAAAGAAGAAGATGGGATATGAATGCAAATTGTTTATTCATGAAATGCAAACTTCTTGACTAAGAAAATCCTTAATTCTTTAGGGATATTTATGTATTGTTATCTCCTGTATTCAGGTTAGTCAAAAATACAGAAACAGGAAAAGATGAAATAGACAAAATGATTTTAATCTGAGTCCATAGAAAGCACTGTGTTTCCTTAAGAAATTTAATCCCCTCACTGTACCCGAGGTTGCAGATTAATTCCTCCCAAGATAAAACGGATTAACTTGTTAGAGAAGTAGCGGTACCTCAAACTTCAATAACTTCAGTGAACGCAAGAACAACAACAAGAGCACACACAGACTAAGTCGATCGACAATTTTGTTTATGTAAGAAAATGTGTGCAGAGAGGAAAAATTTTCAATATTTGAAAAACAAAAACGACCTCTTATTTATAGCCATTAGCAGCAAGGAACGCGTTTGTTTAGACAAATCTGTTCAGACCCGTTTTTTCCAGAACGAAGGAATAAATCCTTTCAAACAAATTTATCGTTACGCGCAAATTTCAAATAATTCGTTGCGAAATTAATTTCGTTATTTAACTAACATTCTGAATTAATTTATAAGAGAAAAGAAATGAATTAACAAGATTGATTAAATAAATTTTGTCCAAAAAATATTATCAATCAATCACATCATTTGCCAAATCCAAATCCAAATCCAAAGTCAAAGCCAAAGTCGAAGCCGGCCGAGGTCAAGGTCGAGCGACGACGACAACGGCGCGAGGGGGCACCTTCTTCTTAACCCTTTAAGAACTAAAGGAAGTGTTTCCTAATATAAGGCATTCACACCTTGCTAAAACCCAACAATCCCCCACATGAATGGGGAATGGCTATTGTTAAAAAACATATGCATGAAAAACTTGTGTGTCTCGTAAGGGTTAATCGCATCTGGATAAGTAGGTTTCCCTTTAAACTTTCCGTAGTGAACATATATCGGATATACTCGGTCAATCGGTAGATTTGATATCTTTGAACCGTCGAGCTTTGGTGTATACCTAGACAACATAAGTCACACAATCAACCCTTGAACTGTTTTTGGTTCTCATTGTTTTGTTCGTTTCAGCCATGAACACATCTCGGTTAATAAGTGCTTAGAGAACTGGCCTTTTCGGATTCTCCTTGAAGCAGCTTACACTTCACACTTACATAAGTAGTTTCTAAGTGTTATCCCGTAGATACACTATTTGATATACCATGTATCAAACTTAGAAACCATTAAAAAAGTCCTTATGCCTTTATCCTGGTTACTGAACATTGTCTCATCATGAGAATGGACATAAAGTAATTTTTTGACAATGTTGAACCGTCATCTATGACTTTGTTTTTATCTCCTTGAACCTAGATCTTGGGATCTCCATTCTTCTAGGTAGAGTTACCACCACGATGGCTTGTTCTCGGCCATAGTCCCATTCCCGTCGATGATCTCTCAACACCCTCTCTAGTTAGGCATTTTTTAAGTGGATCCGACACATTATCCTTTGACTTTACATAGTCAACTGTGATAATTCCACTAGAGAGTAGTTGTCTAACAGAGTTATATCTTCGTCTTATGTGACGAGACTTCCCATTATACATAACGCTTCCAGCCCTTCCTATTGCAGCTTGACTATCGCAGTGTATACATATAGGGGCCATTGGTTTGGGCCAAAATGGAATATCTTCTAAGAAATTTCGGAGCCATTCAGCTTCTTCACCTGCCTTGTCTAATGCGATGAATTCAGACTCCATTGTAGAGCGAGCTATACATGTTTGTTTGGATGATTTCAAAGATATTGTTCCTCCATCAATAGTGAAAACATATCCACTCGTGGATTTCGTTTCAGTTGACCCAGTAATCCAATTTGCATCACTATATCCTTCAAGAACTGTTGGATATTTGTTGTAATGTAAAGCATAGTTTTGAGTGTCTTCTAAGTACCCCAAAAACTCTCTTCATTGCCAATCGATGATTTTGATTGGAATTACTTGTGTATCGACT